TGTTTTGACCGGGCTGGTGTAGCTGCGCGTGCGCACTTCTCGTACGTCTCTCGCGAATCAAAATAGACTTTATTTGGCTTTCACTTTGATTGCTGTAGTGTCTCAAATAGTTCAGCTAGGTTTAGTTTAGTGCGGCCAAAAGTGATTATTGTTACTATTACGTGAATTTAGATTGTAACGTTTTTTGACTGTCTACTTAATAAATTTATGCAGAATATAAAATAAATAAAGATTACGTTAAAATATTTTTTTATACAAAAATACTAATGTAATATTATATAGCTTGTTTGTAGATTGAGAGAAATTTTAACACTATTATTTTCTGGTCGATTTTTTTGGTGTTGATTATAGATTATATTAATCCATCGTCATCGTTATCTTTTACTTATCTCCACTATCTTTGCTATTCACCTTGGATTACATAATCTCCTTCCGCTGCAATATTGTTAATCGAAAGTAGATTTTGTTTTGATACTATAATTTTTATTATTCCTTGTTCCTTTATTGCAGTATGTAAAAACCTTTGTCTTCGAGGTTGCAGAATAAATATAAAAATGCAAACACTATATTATTTCTTGCTAATTATTTCCTTATTCCTTTCAATGAAACGGAAATCTTTTAGATTTAATCCAGTACTACGACTATGTCTATAAATTGCGTCTAACTTTCTTGCAATATACGTATTTGGATTGCTTCCTTTCGAATGTTAAATAAAAATATCACATTGATAAAATTAGAAGCATTTGAACACACATTTGGCTAACTATTTTCTATTGTTCTCAATTTGTATTCAGCGTAAGCAGGTCCTCCAATTCATGCATCTATTTATCTACTAAGTGTAACACTTTGAATGACATTAAATTGTCCTATGCTGATATCAGCCTATTTATATTTATTGTGTCGTAATAAACAATCGTTTATTTATTTGAACTTCGTGTCAGGTTTGTTAAGATACTTTGTGGTCATCAATAGAGTTATATTGTATGTAATTATAGCCATAGCTAGCGACTTGGTGCTTTTTTTTTACATTGTTTAATTTTCTACTGACATTTTTTTGTACTGGCTTCATAATTTTCGTCGTTCTGACTGATATAGTTTGAAGTAGGTTGTATATAAACGTAGACCTCATATAAACATATTATAATGATACAGCGGTATTTTTTGCTTGATGCTATATTAGGCTAGGGCAACCTGACTTATTTGGAATCAGTTACACGAAATACTGCGCATATATTTAAAGTGGATAACTAAAACAGCGTTATAACAAATACAGGAATATAATATAATAATTTTCCTCTTAATTATATTGTCATCATCATTTGTACTTATAAAATTCATCTTCCGTTTATTTGTGTCTTCAATACTCGAAATGTAAACAAAGAAATCACTTTGTTGTTAATTAATTAACTATGTTTTTTAAATAAAATTTCATTTCTTTCGAACAACTTGAATCCGTCTTAAAGGTCAAGTGTGTTAGTATATCTTAAATATAAGTTACATGTCCAATGATAACCAAATACCTATTGATCTTGACACACCCATCAGAGTTCACAAAATGCGTCATTTTTCCACTACTGATCGACAATGTTTACACACATTCTAGTAGCTGCGCGTGAGTCACACGCAATGTCCGCTGCCAGATGATAATAGCGAATGATCTCTCAGTATGCATTTGTCACTTTATTGACGCACTCGACTTTGATATTTATTGTATTCAGCATTACGATTAATTAGCGAAGTAGCTCGATTTCAACAGTTAAAAAAATATTTCACATGCTTTATTCATATGTGATTACACGCGCGGTGTGTTAACAATGTAAAAACTTTTATTGCTCAATTAGATCCTAATTACAAATAGAGCGCAACATTATCAAGGACTATTAATGGAATGGACTCTAAATATTAACGTATTCTAGTCAGTGATGTGATCAGACGATATTTCAAAATGTTGTTCGAAGTGCTAATTGGATTTGGAGTGTTGTTGTACTTGTTTTGGAAGTATTTTCTCACTGAACGAGTGGGTCATCATTCATTAAAAGATTCTAAGGATTTTACCAAATTTGAGGCAGTAACAAAGAAAAGTTTCGAATTTAATCCAACACAGCAAAGCAATGAAGAAGGGTTTGTAAAATATGACAGTGAAAATAATCTTCCAGAAAATCATGTAAACGAACAGAAACCGGTTCTAAATATACTTGATCATGAAAAAATAATAACACCAAGTTTATTATTAGAACAAAGAAAAGAAAAAGTACTTAAAGAAAAAGTTGGCAAACGCGAAAGCCCGCCAAAAGAGAGGTTAGCTGAATTCCTTGAGAAAACTATTTTAAGCGATGACAAGATACAGTCAATTATTGAAAATCTTTCTTTAGATAAAAAGTCTGATAAACAAGATAAAACTACAGACAAACCTAAATTTATGGTAACCCCTATTAAAAATGAAGCAAATAGTGCATTGAGTGAAAAATCCGTCAAATTACAAAATACAATAGATGAAATCTCCGATAAAATAAAAGACCTTAATGAGAATAATACACACGGTGATGACACTGCAAAGAAATCAGATTCGAAACCTATATTAACACGCCTTCAAAAACAACCAGGTTTCCCTATCGGTTTGAATTTTGGATCTGTTATTGGTGAACTGAAAAGTAAAACTAAAAATGCAAGTAATGGTACATTGAAGCCAGTGTTTAAGAAATTTGACACGGATACATTGGATGGGAGCCAGGCACGTAATCCAATAATAATTTAATTTAATAACTGTTTATAATTTTTTATGACCGCTATATCTTAATATAGCGATATTTTTGCAATATCTGTGAGATATTGCAAAAATATCTTAATGGTCCTAATTAGTTTCATTCTTATTAATATTATTCATAGTACTACTAATGATCATAGTCGATTGCAATCCTTAGCAATGATAAAATATGAGTAATACCATATGGATCATAATTATTGTCAACAAGGATTATTCGCGATTCATTATTTTCATGACTTAAGTGCCGAACATCTTAAAAAAATATATAGTTTTAATTTTTTTTAAATATATAATTATAATTTTTTTTACAAGTTATATATTTATACCTTTACTCTCTATTTTGTCCACCATAATTTTTATTTGGCTATCCCAAAAAATATGAAATTAATGACAATTAAAAGACATCAGAGGGAAATTAATAAAAATGGTTCTAGTACAGTTACTATGTGATTGATAACTAATGTAATAATGGAAAGTACACTGTGAATTCGATCCTCTGATTACATTCATCGTTGCTCTAAGATTTATAATCAACATGACATGACTGTAATTTTGTACTAAAATCGAGTCTAATATTATGCATAGGAACTGTTAAATTGCCTTTATTACCGGTTGTTCACAAAACGAAATGCCTCGTTAGAGAAATTACACGTTGTTTGTTTGTTAAACGAAACGGACACTTGATTGTACAGACTCACTTTCATTATTTACATAAATAACTCGTCTAAGCTTTATGGTAGAATGAACGATACAATACCATGTGAAAATCTTTTACTCTGATTATAAGCCACTGACTTTCATGGAAGTTTTAACTATTGGAAACCGTTCCGATTTTACATGTACTAATGAAAAAATTTTGTAGTTTACAAAAGTCACATTTTTTTCTAGTTTAGAGAAGATTTGTGTAAACAAAATTTTATTATTATTAAATACTTGTAAATTTTCTTCTAGTTCATCTATCTGAACAGCATTTGTTTGTATGTATCGTGTGGATATAATACTTGATTCCTGTGGTTTTATGACAATATCAATCGTTTGTCATATAATATACGATATCAACATCGACGCGGTCTAAAATACACAAAATGTTTATAATATATATATAGTATTATGACTCATTTGATACATATTAGCATTCAAATTGTCTAGGATGTCTATAAAATTATACCAAGGCAAAATCAGATATTGTAATATATATCACGCAAATAATAAAGCAAAACTGAAATTTGCTTGTTTATTTTGTTCGTTCGTTTGCAGTAACAACATGGATATACTATATGTTAAATTTCTACCTTAATTTCTAAAATTTAGGGCTCCTTATCGATTGCACAAAATAATAATATCACATCACACGTTATAAACATTTTCGTATGGAAATGAAAATTAAGTAATATTTTCACCCTTTCACTGGATGCGTGCCAATAGAAGTTCGTTGACACTAGCAATAAAAGAAAAGTTTTCGCTATTGCCATGAATATGATGACAAACTTTGATATGAGCAGTATAAACATACATTTGGTGTAACCTACTATTGGCCGCCCTTATTAATAGTTATTTATTGTTATTGTCAACATTTCCGTGGACTATGTGATACAGACATTGTGGATAGTTATACGATATGAAATTTAGTTAGTTTGTGTTTCCTCTCGCTGCTTTTACAGCTCTACCACTGATAGAAACTATAAATATAAATGTATTTCGCAAATTTATTTAATTGTAGTTGAAATTAGTGCCCTTGTGTATATTATGCTAAAATAATTGCCACAGACTATACCGCTGATTGTACTAAATTAATAACATTTATATAAAAAAATGTTCAAAAAGTTGATAAAAAATATTACAGATAACGTTTTCGTGTGGGAAGGGTTTGATATCAATAAAAAACTTGTGTAACATGCCAAATATGATAGTAATTACACATTTTGTATTCATAGAAATGGAAACAGCTACTTATGTCTATCCATTAATACGTCCACATCTAATATAATAAATACTTTGTATTTATGATATCAAAGAATATTTTAGCGCATACTTACTGGTAAAAACTAGTAAAAATAAAAATGGTATTACTAAAAGCAAAACTCGCACAAATATACTAAAAAATGTCTGTTACGTCTCGAACTTAACCAGAACTTGTTAGTATAGGTCTTGTTAATTTGGTTGCGGAGGTTCAATTAGTTTGTGTGTACTTCATCTTGGCAAAAATAATAATATGTTACTTCTTTATTTGTTACAGGATAATCTAAATGCCGCTGTAGATGAAAAGAAAAAGGTGCACATAGATGAAACCGAGCTTGCAACAAATATCCTAGCTGACAGGCGGAACAAACTAGAAACAGCTGCCCAGGTTGGTAATATGTTTACATTTTCCTGTTACATTGAAATATTTAACCTCTGAATGCCTCGATCTTCCACAAAATATTATATATGCCACACTTCATACTAAACATTATGGAACCTTTACCTCACAATACAGATCTTACTAATATTATACACGCCAAAGTTTGTAAGTATGGCTGAATGGTTCTCTTTCACTCAAAACTGCCAAATGGATCTTGATGAAACTTTACAGTAATATAACTTATACATCAGAATAACACGTAGGTTTAAATTAATTAAACTTAATGTTAAAAATGTTCGGATTCAGTTTATTCATTAAAAATCCAAATTATCTTATTAACTACAGATTAATTAGTTTCAGTATAGACATAAAGAGAGAGAACAGGACCTCTATCTATATAATAATATACTCGTACATACGTCTCTTCCTTATCTGCTGTCATAATTCATTAAGAACTTCCGTAATATTTTTAATATGTATACAGTACGATCATTATGCTTTGAATGGTAATTAAAACCACAAACTTTGATCATAAATATAAACTTCATAAATAAAACAGAACTAAACAATGTAGATAATTTAAATTCAAAGTGGAGCCCCATTGGTATTACGACTTTTAATAAGTATATGTGAAGGACACAGAAGACGGTCGCGAAAAAGAGACAGAATTATAATAATGTTAGTACCCAATTATAGAATATTATCTACTTATATTAGGACTTGTCTGTTTTAATCACTACAACTGATTTACTTTTATTTAGTTCTCAACCAGTTGGTTGTGTATTTAATATTTCCTCTATTTGAATATTTAATTGAAGTTGCTAGTTGGTGAATTGTATTCACACACTTCAACTTAAAAATGTAAAGTAATTAACAACAAAATTATTTAAAAGAGCAACACGCAAGTTTCTTGCACTTTCTTCTCGTGATGAGACAGACACCTTTCCGAATGAGCAGTATTTGATTGACAAAAAATGTGATGACTATTCAAAAGTGTTTCAATGTAAGTTTATTTGAATAAATGATTTTCTATTCTATTCTTATATTTTATTAGTCTTAATTTGTTAAAACCAATTCTGCGAACTGAACTGTTTCTTCGAACTGATTATTTAAAAGATGTAATTTTTATGAGGAAATGGTAGGATAAGTCGAGTGTTACATTAATCACAACAGTAACAAACGACAAAATCTAAGTCAACCTTATCCAGGATCACAGACGTGAGAATTTTTAAATGGAGTTATAATGGTGCAGAAAAACTCACATAAAACGAAACTTGGATTTTTTACTTCTGGCAAGCTTAATTTATTATACTTAGCGAAAACATTGCAATATTACTTTTTCGTGTTATGCGTAAAGTACAAAATTATATGCGTCTAGTGAATTTTAATGACCTTATGAATAAATATATCTTTGTAAATAAATGTTAGTTCTATATATATCAGTAAAATAACTAGACAACAAAGCTAACGGATAACCCTCATAGGAATGGACCACTGGCTTTAGACCTCAAAGCGTACATTTCCCCCCAAGTTTAAACGTCGAGTTAAACCTCAACAATTTCGCATTGCGCAAATACATTCGCAATGCACCATGTAAATAGGGTTGGCACTTTTTACTTTAGCAGATCCTATAATTCCTTCTCTTCTAATTTTATAAAAAAGTAATTTTTTTTACTATTTCCTTGCATTTTTTATGTTTTCTTACGTTTTCATCTTTGCATGCAAATATTTTAAAACCGGTTATTTTCGAGTATTAATGAGATAAACATCAATTCGCTTTTCTATTACTTACGTTCGAATAAGTTTTAGAAGTTAAAAAATAATACATTTTACGTAAAGATATCTTAATTGTAAGTTTTAGTTATCAAACCACCAAAATAATACAATATATATATTATTATTTAATTATGACTAAAAATGAAATTGTCATTCACAAAGTTGTCAACCCTCAATGTAAACATAATTCAAGAGGAATGTCGTTTAAATCATATGACCTCTGGGACTTTTTTCATTGCAGTAAAAGACAACATATTGATGTTAACGTGTTAATAAATAAAACCTTCGAGTTAAGGCAACTCTGAAAGATCAAGGATTTCTGGTGATTTATACAAAACCTATTATTGTTGGGCTCCGTTGCAATGAATAAAAAATTGTTTCACCATTGCTACTTAAACTGCGCGAGTTAATGAGAGACGGCATAGTATTATTCATTCATCATGAAATAAGATATAGGGTAAACACTACAGTGATTGCCCAGTATATAGATATTGCCCACAGTAAGAAGATGATACATTTAAACCTATTTATAAAAGAGTTAATTCGAATTAAATTCGCTGGATGGCATTAAGAGATCCTCTAGTAGAACGTTTAATAATAAATTGGCAAAATTTAAAGAAAAACATAGTGTTATGGCATATTTGTTGACAACAGGTATGCCTCTTATCGGAAAAAGTAGGTTTCTTAAAGAATTTCTTAAGGATACACTTTTTGTTATAATTTCTTGTGTTAACTTAGCTCCGTTTTAAACTTATTGCTATAGAGAATAAGTTAGTAAATGCTTTATAGTGTAATTTCAAGAAGTTATTGTGATGTAAAATTTACCTCTTAAGGAGTTAGATGGGGTGGGCAATTACTAAAACTTATTTAGATGAATTTTAGTGATTGCCATATCGATATTTAGTTATTGCCATTGGCATTGGGTACAGCTATTGCCCGGGCAATTTCTATTAAAGTAAGTTTATTTTTGTTAAATACATTTACGTAGCAGTATTATCTAGTTCTTTATAGAATGCCGAAGGTTACCAAGTTAAAATACAAACGGGAAGACCTAAAGAAGGCAATCATCGAAATCCAAAATAACAAAGACAGGTTTTCAGATCGACAAATTCCATATTTTAACATAATTCAGGACACAAAATCAGCTTGGGTTCAGTGCCAATTTTAACTGCTAAAGAAGAAGCTATTCTTGACGACAGGATAACAACTTCAGCACGAAAAGGATTTCCAATGCATAAAGAAAATATTTTGGACAGTGTTCAAAAATTTCTAGAGGAAAATCCAAGACCTAATCCATTCGTGAATAATAGGCCTGACATTGGATAGTGGAAAGTATATTTAAAGAGACATCCTAAATTAAGTATACGGAGTTTTGAAGGTGTTCGAACAAAATCAAGCTCATGTGTATCTGAAAAAGATTTAGGTTCCATGAAATATGTTGCTATGTCGATGAAAAAGTAATAAGCCAAGTCTTCAATACAGATGAGACAAATTTTCATATTTGTCAATGTGCAGGACTAGTTGTGGCTGAAAACGGTTCTAGAAACGTTTATAATATTGAACATTCAAATGGAAAATAATCAATAATCATTTTATTTACTTTCTCTGCTACTGGTATTATTTGTAGTCTATTTGTTCCCCAAATCTTTTATTAGTGTAGTAAGTCTACAAATACAAAAAGATTTAGATATTATTTTGTTTTTGTGTCATTTTTACTATAAAGTAGATGATTCTTATTCTGCTAAAGACACTGATTTTGATTGTTTAGAAATGTATACTAACGTACAGAAATCTATAAAAGATCTCAAATATTAAATAAGGTCTTTAAAACTTGAGACATTGTTTTGCTTTAACGATTAATGTTTGTCAACATTCCTAAACAATAAGAATTAATGTTTATATGGTATATTTTTAACTAGATTTAGTAACTATAGCAGTTAATGCTATGTGGGCAATAACTATGTGATGCGTGAGGCAATGACTATCTGGTCCGGGCAATCACTATACTTTTAGAGGTTATTTTTGTTAAACCTTGTAATTATTAATTTTCTTAAGATATTTAAATTGTTACTACTGGATCTCTTAGCTAAACTATTAATGTTACCAAAGAGGTGACACTCACATACCTATTATTTTAATAAACATTTATATACATATAAAACCAGTAGAATTTTCTTAAATGGGCAATCACTATACTGTTTACCCTATATAAAATTTTAAAAACGAACTAACTCCCGACACAAAATAAAACAACTAATTACCCATTCGTAACGTTTAAAGCGAAACTAACAAAAATAAGTGAACTTTGAAACATATTTTTTTGCTAAGAACAGATTTTTAAATGTCAGCTTTCAAACAATAAAGAAACATAATCGTTCATCATTCGTATTAGAGCTATATACTATGCCACATATATACATACAGACAAGTCTAACTTATAAGGCAGTTGCAAATAAGGTTGTTTCGTCAGTCTCTTTTGGAATGTAATTTACATGGTATCTCAACTCGGATTGCACTGCACGACATACAGGATTGCAAAGGCATATATATATTTATTTGATCTTATTGTTAATTTATTTTATAATTCGATTAATTATGGTAATCTTTAATTATTTGCTTCTTCCCTATCCCATTTATATGGGGTCGGCGTAGTATGTAAAATTCTTTATAAATCTTAATTTCGTATTTGTTTCGTATTCGTATCTTATTTTCGTATTGAAATATAACAATTTTTTATCTAAAACGATTGGACCGCTTAAGATAAAATTTTGTGTACATTGCAATGTGTTCCTGAATGATTTGAAAACAATTGCATCCGTAGTAGTAGATAAGTAGTATGTTTCTGAGATAATAACGACATCTGTAGCTTATTTATTTATAACTAGCGCATACAGTTACATATAAAAAGAACTACGAGAACTAAGAAATATGGCATTATTATTTGATTTTTTTAAGCTTAAAGTTATATTCTTTCTGATGTTTATGACTGTCTTTTTTTCATATGTTTTTGTTTCTATAATATTTGACAGTCGACGATATGAGTTGACTATGGCCCATATGATGACAGTAATTATTCAAATGTAGATTGGCATGAAATAAGCCTTCAGCTTCTTTTATTTCGTGTCATTTTTATAATGATTCTTAAATATCTAACGAGTTGATATATATTCTAGGATATTTTCTTTTACATGGTATCTAACTTTTTATTATCTTTTATAAGCTCTCAGTCATATGAATTCTCTAAACCTCTAGAATGGCTGAGAAGTTGTTGACTGCAAAAATGCCCCTTTTGGGATCATTTAAAACCATTATTACTATTTAATTTTTAAAGTCCCTACATCCTTTTATATACGTATAAATTTTACTGTACAATATAGCAACAAATAAACGCAATACATATTATTGCCACACAAGATATATATTAAAAATTCTCTTCAATAATTTATTTTCAGGGATGGCGCAAACGTGTACCAGAGAACGATGCGTCGCGTTTCACAGTCGCTGGGCGACTGGAGCGCGACAAAGTGTCGGCGACGCCACCTATGACACCGCCGCCGGTGTCTACTCCACCTTCGGCTGTTGCGTCTCCCGGCGTGCCTGCACCAAACAAGTTCCGGTCAGTTTCTAAAAACAATCACACGACCATAGATAGTCCTCTCAAAGCATTGGCATCTGTCATGGCCGTGCAGTCTTTATAGGTTTCTATTGCATCTATAAAACCATACAATGATTCTGACGGGTGACCGCTGTAAAAATTATTGCATTTTGCAAAGGTAGCTGTCGTTTCTGCTACAGGAACAGGATTTTTATATGATATTTATTATTGTTTTATAGTTTTGCGTGTGGATGACCATTAGTTTAGTTAGTAATATTACATTATATAAATACAGACAGACGTTATAATTTCCTGTCTTGACCACATTTTGTAAAATCCTCTATTATTGATAATATTAGTCATTCGTTTATATTAATGTAAAGACCAAATGGTTTCCTGAATTGATGACTGTGAATGGACAATTATGTTTGTGTATAATTTTGGGCTAAGTTTCAAGTATTAAATGAATGTCATATATTGGTTTACTTAATGAAATTCTATCTATGGCATTACTGTACATCTGTATGTCTCTTAACCTACTAAAAAAGTAGAATTTTGTAGTCTAGACTATTTGACGACTGACTTTATATAAAAAACCAAATATGAGGGTATTAGAATAACAGAAGCCAAAACAAGACAACTGCTTAATACAACTGCAGTTTTCACCAATGCTTATAGACCCTTGTTTACAGTTTTCTTCTTCATCCTCGCCTCTACCCGTTACAGAAGGCTTTCCTAATTTTAAAGCCCCATACATTTCACTGGTAAGCATCGTCATTTGACAGGCCCAACTCCTTCATTCTGTCTCGTCCTCTTTTCTTTGTAACGATGGAAAGGCATTTCTTCACAACGTGGAATTAGAGTTTTCGCAAAATACGTCCATACACCCTAAGTCTACACTCTTTGAGATTTTCGTTTTTGGTTGTTCAGATCTCGAAAACAAGGCACGTCGCCCACGAACGGGTTCGCGTTGGGTCCGCTTCGTTCAGCGTCGTGCGCTGTCGTCAGCGCGGCCGCGGAAGCGAAACCAAAGGAGAGCACACGGCCTGATCGCGAACTGTTCAAGAGGAGCCATTCGGTCAGCGAGAGCATCAGCAGGGTCGACGAGAGTAAGTTTACTAATAATATCTATATAATGTTAGGCAAAATAATAATAATGTACCTTCAGATGTAGTAGTCAAGGGTATCGGCAACTGTCGACGTTGTGATGAACGTAACACTTAAAACTACACACGTTTGACTGGCCAACATCCAACATCTATGGTAGATGTTGCATTCACATATGGCTGCAATAGTCACCTCTCTGATTAATTTAGCCTATTATCAGTATTTCCATTATTAGAGAGTTAAAAATGTTAATTGACACACAAAGTTATTTGGGCAATGATGAAAGAAATTTGTCTTAAAAAGAATCTACAGCACAGCTACACCGCTGATTTCCAGGGGAGGCCTTAGGGTTAATAATAGTTTTGCTCTGTATATTGTCCTCCTTCGCAGATGAGAAGGAGCCAATTATTGAACTCGGACACTAGCCCCATCTGAGACGTCCTGTAATTTATCTCTATGATGGCGCGTTAATATCATTCTGACAGCTAACCGTTATTTAATTCTATGAAAAGGGAAGCCATTTATTGTATAGACATAGTACATATTTATATAGGAAATGTTATTTGAAGTGCGCCTTTTAATCATCAGATGACGAGTCTTCTCCGGGCCCTGAGAAGACAGGGTGTCCAGTGCGTGTCCCTCGCGCAGACGATGAGACCTTCCACGCATTCTTCGCACCACTCCAGCAGCAGGACAAGACTCCTGATGCAGCTGTGGACGTAGATCTGGATGCCATAGACTGTGGCTCTCGACAATTGTAAGTATATGTTCACATGTAGTAATGATATGAATATGAAAAGCATATATACACATATAAACAACAAATTTTATAATCTACTAGCTGTCCGGGTAAACGTTGTTTTACTTTAAAATAAAAAAAAAATAGGGGTGGACTACCCCTAACATTTAGGGGGATGAAAAATAGATGTTGGCCGATTCTCAGACCTACTCAATACGTTCACAAAATTGCATGAGAATCAGTCAAGCCGTTTCGGAGGAGTATGGGAACGAAAACTATGACACGAGAATTTTATATATAAGATTTTCCTTAAAAATCTTAAAATAATATTGATATTTCAGGACAATTCACACAGCCCGCGCTGTCTAGTCCGAAACACAGCAAACTAGAGTGTGTTATGGGTACTAGATAACTGATAGAAATACATAGATACTTTTTTGTAAATTATGCATATAATTTTTTATACATAAATATATACACAGATAACACCCAGATCGATACAAACAATCATACTCATGAATACATATGTTTGTACCGTGTGAGTAATCGAACTCGCTACCATCGGTAGTAAAGCGGTGTGCTAAACCGCTAGACCAGATATATATCAGATAGTTAGTACTACTCAGTAGTAGCTGTGTTTGGTGCGAAAATTATTATTTTATTGTTACTATTTATCAATCAATAACAATCTGTTGCTTAAAAGCGTTCGGAAATATGTTATAATATAATATATATTTATTTATAAAAATAAATAACTATTTAGGCTAGCAAGCGAGTGGGCAAGACGCGCAAAACGCGAACGGCGGCAAGCTGGCTCCAAAAATCCACTGAAAGCTCTCGCAGCTAGGACCGATCTACGGGAGGAGTATATCGCCTCCTCTACTGGTATACGGGAACAGGTCCTGAAGGAGAAAGGTACGAAAATATATAATACTTAATGTTAGGTTTTTAAAATTATGTCACTGACGGTTGTATTGTGAAAAATTATGTATCAAAAATATGTAGACAATAATTAGATCTCTAATAACTTATGATTTGTGTAACTTAAGTAACAGCTAATAACTATGATTTGAAACAATATTAATTGAAATGGACAGTTTTAAGTAATGTTTGAATGATTTGACAGTTGCAATACGAATAAGATTTATATTTGTGATTAAAAACATTACATATTCTAATGCTGTTGGCCGTGGCCGTTGTTTAGCTGAAGCCAACACACAACCGGCTTTTACACCCAGTTAAATTCATTAGTGTTTTCATTTTAAATAATAACGTAATTGGACTTTATTCACAACAAATGAGAATTTATATTCAATGGCATCTGTAGTGACGGCCAACTGCGGTCTCGCGGCGGAGGCGCTGGCAGCCCTGGCCAGTAAGGAGGATTTCGCGCACGTGGCCCTGCGTAGTGCAAATGTGACCGCCACAACCACACCCGTCAAACCTACGCTGTTACACGTCAAGGGCCGTCGTCGAGTACAGGTACAGTTCATAGTGAAATTATTAATGAGAATGTGCTTTATTACCTGTTATAGTCTAAGCGGCTGAACGGATCTAAAAAAAAAATTATAACTTTATGATGTGTAGATTTAAGTGATTAAGGGATGGTTGCTTTCACTCACATCGGTTGCTCACATACTATGTGAGCAACCTCGATGTTTACTTGTCGCTTTCCTATTCTCAGATACTCAACATATATAAAGATAGAGTGTACTACAAGGACTATAGATAAATGTGTTATCCAATGCTAAAAGACTAATTTCTGATATGTACGCATTTAATTTACCGTACAAACTCTTCATCTTTATAATATTAGTATTAGTGTAGATTTTTAAAGAGATATGTATACTAATCAACGTTGTTAATATTACAGACTAGACTGGTGGAGCCTGTGCATACAAATGTGAACCGCGGCGATTGTTTCGTGCTAGTCACCCCTGATCAGGTGTTCCTGTATATTGGACTCTACGCCAACGTCATAGAGAAGTAAGTAAAATAACACGTTACACGTCATGAATATTGAATATTATCTTATCTTATGTAAACTTAAAGTCTACTCTAAACTTTTAGATTTATATAAAATATTCTAACATCAAATTATATTATTTCACAGGAATCGCAGCACTGATATAGCAACACATATACACAACAGAAAAGATCTCGGCTGCAAGAACTCAACCGGCGTGATAAAGATCGACGAGCACGCTAAGAACTACTCGAACAGGCACTGGAACGAGTTTTGGTCATTACTCGGCGTCACCAACGAGATAGAAGACTATAAGCCAGCGGAAACTGGCCAAGGGGACGAAGACGAGATATATGAGTCTTGCATCATACAAACAAACATGTGCTATGAGGTAATAGACGACGAGCTGATTCCCATCAAAGAGTATTGGGGTCAAGTGCCAAAAATAGCCATGTTGCACCAGTCGAAAGTTATCGTATTCGATTTCGGCTCGGAAATGTACATTTGGTATGGGAAAAACGTTCCGCTTGAGAGCAGGAGACGAGCTGCTCAACTGGCACAAGAGCTCTTCGATGACGGATACAATTACGAAGAATGTCACATCAATCCATTAAATGCAGCTGTACACCAAGGAGCCCGAGAGGAATCTAATACTCCCATCAAATCTTCAAGTAATAGGCCCGAATGGGCCATTCTATCCAAAGTAACACAGCACATGGAATCTATCTTATTCAAAGAGAAATTCCTCGACTGGCCCGATTACTCACGGGTCATTAAGGTGAAACCGCAGGAAAATAAATCGAACAGTGTCGATATAACACCATGCGATGCCGAGGAAATGTGGTCGAACGAGTACCAAGACCCAGATCTCATTTTAGAAGGGTCTCACATCGGACGCGGCACGCATTATTATGATAAAGAAGAGATGAGACACTACGATATAAAAACTAAATCAGTCTGCAAATGGGTAATACAGGAGTACGATTACCAAAAAGTAGAGAATGACACTGAAATTGGAGAGTTTTTCTCAGGCGATAGTTACATTATCAGATGGGAATATCAAATAACGGTAACAGGTCGAGAACTTAACGGGAACCCTTCAAAACATAACATAACGGGCCGTGATCGATGCGCGTACTTCTGCTGGCAGGGTAGAGATGCGTCGTCCAACGAAAAAGGCGCTGCGGCTTTGCTCACAGTAGAGCTGGATAAAGAAAGGGGACCGCAACTAAGGGTTGCACAAGGCAACGAACCGCCGGCGTTCCTCAACCTCTTCCAAGGTAACCTGACCATCCACCAAGGCAAAAAGGACACAGACAAGAGCCGATACAAACTATTCGTAACGCGAGGTAACCTGTCCAACGAAGCGTATCTATTACAAGTGCCATGTTCAGTACGACAGTTGCGCAGCCGTGGATCGCTTCTTCTCGTCGACACGGAGAAAGGCTGTTTGTACATCTGGCATGGTACTAGAAGTTTGAAACACACTAAGAATATAGCAATAGAGTTGGCCAATAAGTTGATAGCGCGGAAGTGTACTTATTTGTTCGGCGATAAGGTCGGGGATGTGAAGATCACTGAGGTCAAAGAGGGAGAGGAGCCCAAGGAAGTGCTGGATGCTTTGGGGGTGGCCAACAAGCAATACTACAATTCAGTGCTGGGCGGCGTTAAGACGGGGGGAGAATTGACACCTCGTCTGTTCCATTTCACGGATCTGGGAGGCCAGTTCGAGGCCAATGAGGTGTTGTCACCTCTCCGCCATGAACATCTGGTGACACCCTTCCCTTTTGAACAAAAGGAGTTGTATTCGGCTTCGCAACCAGGTAATTGCAACATTAATATTTAGTCATAGCAATGAAATTCGTGAGACCTAAGATAGCCTTAGCTTTTCATGTAGATGTAAAATAGAAATACAATAATAATCAGTCCTCATCATCAGTCGATTTTTTTTTAATTATATTTAGCCGATTTGTTGTAATGATGATTCTTCAATGTTGTTTTTGTTTAAAGTTTTAATATATTAATGTCTTTTTCAGCTCTATTCCTATTAGACGACGGGAAATCAGTGTGGCTATGGCAGGGCTGGTGGCCTCGAGGAGAAGATGGGGAACTAGAACCTGCTGAGAGGAATGCTGGTATGTAAAATTATTGTAAAATTATATTGTTATTAAATAATTATTTTATGAGCTATATGTACATCATCATCACAGCTTCAATATCTGAAATCTAGATATACATCATAGTCGTCTGCGTGGGGGCTTCAGTTCAGCTCAGTTTTCTTTGTAAGTTTGTATTTCAGCTGTAAGGTGAGATTAGGCAGTGAAATTATAGAATTAGGGGCATTACATGTTTGTCTGCCGAAATGGCAACGCATGAGTAGTATAGCGGGCAACATAAGTTAACGTGATGCTTGTGTTGTTTATGTAAATATATTAGTAACAGTTACCACGTACCATCAGGTAGATCGTCACTTTGTTTGCTGTTCCACTTACATAAAAAAATGTTGCATTATTTATTGAGTTATCCGAAACCATAACGTTTAAACGAACGATGACATATTCACTTTCATATTCCGTAATAAAACTAATAATATTTCTCTATATAATAATACTATTGTGGTATATAGGCGTTGGCGCTTTCGCGGCGCGATGGCAAGCGATGCGAGTTGCCGCCCTACGAACAGCCGAGGCATACTGGACTGTATCGCGCTCTCATAAAGATAAAAATGAGTCGGCCGATCGTAGTGAGACCAATGGTAGCAACGAGCAGAGTGGCCGAAGCGAGAAGCCTCAGCAACCAAATGTACAAGTAGTCGCAGCAGGCCTCGAACCACAACATTTCACAGAGCTGTTCGACACCTGGCGAGAGCACGACGAAGCCGCTGAAGCGAACATTGCGGTAAGTATCTCTATTGATTATGGTGGTGGTTGGTGAAGGGGAAAGCAATTGTAAACTTGTAAAAACTGGACGATTAAAATAATAATAATATTAATAAAACATTCAGAATTCGCCGAACTCAGTTTCGCCTCAGAATTAAATAGTATGTCAACGTTTGACTTCCATGTGATATGTTTTTTGAATTGTTGTTTTTACTATTTTCCATTAAATTTCTTTACATTTTCACCTTCCTTGGAGTTCTACAAATATTTGAAAACCAAAATTAGCCAAATCATTTTATTATATGGATTATTAATAATTTTCTTTGGGCTACGTTTAAATTTTAAATGTATGTTTACGACGTTAAATATTATATTTATTATAAGAGGAATTATTCCTCTTTTCACTGAGAGAGCCCCTAATTATTCTTAAGATTTTGAAGCGCGTACGGTACGTATCCTTACGGTAGCAATAGTAGAAAATTATATTGTGATATGTAAATAAATGTATGTACAAATATCCTTTGTTGGTATTTTGTATATTAAAACTTATTAAAATTTACTATCGCGTACATTTTTATGAAATATACATGTATGATAATGATACCTTTATCCTAATATTATATCAAGATATTAAAAGAAATTTAAGTAACAGAAATGTATAATATATTTTTTAAGTCAAATAACCTGCATGACAAGCAAGCTGACGTCTCACCATTTTGACATGTAACGTTCCATTTCTCGAAAACCTAACCACGATTCTACGATCTTCATATTTCGGTTGGATAAAATGCTTTCCAGTTTTATTGTAAATATATATGCATTAAAATAGCAAGGGTTGGTCTCTTGTCACGTTCGCTTGGGAGCACTGTACGATATACGCACATTCCCGCAGCACGGGCACAAGGCGGGCGAGACGCTGGTCGGTTCGTGCGAGCTGTCGCGGCTGGCGAGTTGCGACGCCGTATTATCGCTGGCCGTTTTACAACGCCGGCCGCTGCCCGACCACGTCGATCCGCACCATCTCGAGCGGCATCTCTCTGAGACAGACTTCCAGGTACGTAGCACACCCCCATAAATATAGCTAGATATCAGCAATCGCATTCACAAATTATGTCACACGAATGTAATGATTATTGACAGTTTTTATATGTTTTAATTCATAGAATAATAATTTTGCAATATGACGATACTTTCACGGTTATATAACTGTGGTATATAACCATTACATCTGTTGACTACCTTTTTATATAAAGAGGTAGTAAACAGATATAATGGTAGTAGAATAGGTTATCACTACCCGTGCGTCTTCCAGAGTGTTATTATTGTTTCATGAATAAAACTTCGGATGTAATAGACAAATTACAAATACATTAACATTTCAATACAATAATTATATGACTGAGAAGCAAGGAAATGCAGTAGGTGCGCTATGGTATGAAACATAAGTGTGCTTATACTGTGTATGTGTGCATGTAACACATCTACAATACAAAATTTAAGACTTCTTCCAGTCCTATTCACACAATGTCGACTCCTCCCCCCACTCTTTAGCATATGACGTAATTTAGAGGATGGTCACTTGATAAGGCAGAGCTTTTATTTATATAAGAACTGGGCGCAAACATTGTATACAATAAACACAAATATGAGCAATATATTTTGGAGCTCTGTATATGTACGTTGTAAATAAACTTTTATCTATCTATCTTTCATTCACTAATTCATTCAGGTTTGTATAATAGCGAGTACACAAGTACAAAAAATAGTAAGCAAACTAAATAGTTTAATTTATCCAAGCGGTGAATAATATCCTGTCTATTTTATCGTCATAAAAATGTCTGCACATTATAATGCAGCTTCCACTCAGAACGTACTATATATTTTTCAGTAATAAATACCCTATGTATAGGGTATTTATTTATTTTATTTTACTTTTTATTAATTTAATATAAATTATAACTAATAATACTTGCTTGGTTCAATAATTCCTTCATTTTTCTATGTATGAATTACTTAAACGATTTTAAATTATATTTCAATATTAGAATGTAATGATTTACATCTAGTCAACATTTAGATATGTAAAGTAACATATCTAAATGTTGACTAGATATAAATCTAATTATATCTATTATGTAAATAAAATTTAAAATCGTTTAAGTAATTCATACATATATAATACTTGCTTGGTTCAATAATTCCTTCATTTTTCTATGTATGAATTACTTAAACGATTTTAAATTATATTTCAATATTAGAATGTAATGATTTACATCTAGTCAACATTTAGATATGTAAAGTAATATTTAAAAGTTACATGCTTATCTCGATCTGTTTTTGCAGGAGGCTTTCGGCATGACCAAAGAAGACTTCTCAGTGTTACCCGCGTGGAAGCAAACAAATCTCAAAAAAGATGTCGGCCTGTTTTGACCCGTCGGCCTCCGCACTCTCGTACACACGGAAATGCCGCGTGCGGCGCAAATGGCTTGAGACCGTTCTCAAAACGACTTTAATATCAAAAAATCTATACCCATGCGTTCATCTTGAGTAGAATAAAACTTTTGTACAACTACACATATTTCGTACTTTTTTACTGAACAATGTTGAAGGATTTGATAGTATTAATATTAAGAGCACGCTTTAAACTCTATTTGTAATCGGAACAGTCGTTTTTATACTAACGGAATGTAATGTATTCGCTCTCGTGATATTTTCATGTAACCGCCGTAGACATAGACTGTAGTTCGATAATACGGATTTGTATGTTGGAATTGTTTTTGGCGGGGAATGTTATTTGTCGCATCCATGGCATGGCATGCTCTATTATGTTGTAAATAGTTGTTTTTCTCTATTTATTTATAATTACGCGTTAATCGTATTAGTTATCTTAATATATTAACAGCACCCTTTTAATATGAATTTTGCATATTTTAGTTTTTGAAAACTTTTGTTTCTTAATATAAGTTTGCCAACATGGATATGACAAAATTGCAATGCTAAAGTGGTGATATTTTTCAATTTTATTACGTAAATGTTATCAAATAATACGCTGCGCTAATGGAACTTTCGAATTAATAGACTTCTCGCATGACGCAGCGTATTATTTGAGAATATTGAACATGTAATGTAGGACAAATGTATCTGGTCAAAGTATGGTTAATATATCTGTTATAAATCGCTAGATATACAAACTCATGTACTTCTACTATTATATACGCTTTAGGGTAGGCTATATCTATGACGGTTAAAGTTTTATACAAATTGTCGCATTTCATACGTACAATCATTTGCCACCGAACCCCGAAAGTAACTTACTACCTGACGTTTGTGTAAAATTTTCACCGACACAGTACTTCTATATATTTTAACACACCACATATCTACTCATTGCTACTTTTTTATACTGTGCGTTAGGTGGACCATGTTTTGATATATTTAATCTTAAACTATATCAGTTTGGATTTAGCTTGACTTCGTAGCGAAGTGTATTTGTACTTGTATGACCATATGATTTGACCTTTTGTTATGATAAGCATATTTGACTGAGGAATTAATACGATGGTGAAGACCAGCGTTAGTTTGTCGATGCGATGCTCGCATTAGAAACTGCGACAAATGACGCTAGTCTGCATCAAGCTCAATATTTGTACTTTAATTTTAACACTGTTGCTATGTTGTGTACAATTTTAGATGTTTATTTTTTATAGCTAGCATTATTGCTAATGTGGGTAACCTCGACTGGTCGTGTTGGAGTAAAATTGCCAGTATTTTCTACGGTGTTATCTCAGAGTGACAGATAATTCTAGTGAGAACTCTATGTGCAATAATAGTGCAACTGTAAAAGTATAAAAATACAGTTATTCACAATTTTATCAAAATATAATTCGTTTTCTAACGCTAATGTTGTGTTGTCATGAAAAACTAATATTTTAAAACATTGTAATTTCTTTTTCTTCATTTCTTAACCTTATTAAAATAATTTTCACTATTAGAAATATTCTTCTATGACATTTCCTTCCTGTTTCTACATCTTTCTTTCATTTTACTCTTCGTATGCATAATATATAATAAAAAAACAAGTACATAGAATGGTGAAGTCTCTTGTTGTACTTAGTATTCCTCGACTATTATTTGTTACTCTGAGGATGTAATTACCAATGAGTAGTGTAACTCTAACAAGTCATACCTTAGATGTTAACCTATAACTACGAATAACCTACATTGTGTGACTTATGTCCGATGCATTTACGGCCAATCCTACGTGCCTAGCGACATAAGCGTATCTCTCAAATCCAATGTTTAATGTTTGCTTTGGTTGTGTTAACTATAATTATTATTGTATTGAGATTTATTTTGTATAATAATGTAATAAATTGCTAAAATTGATTTGTAATATTTTATTTTATTTTATCAAACCCGAAATTTATTTCTGATCTTGGAATGGGAGTACTTACGTACATAAAAACCAGACCATTTTTCATAAAATGTTACATTATACGATTTCATATATTTGTATGTATCACAATGGACATTCTTCTAATGACTTCAGAGGAGGAGGAGTTGGAGGAAAATATTTCATTGTGATTTTTTTATATTTGATGTCAGGTGGAGATCATATCCGTAATTTATTTTAGACTTGGAATGGTAGTACTTACGTAAATAAATAAGACAAAAAGCAGAGCATTTTTCATAAAATCTTCCATTATAAGATTTCACATAAAACCTGACTTTGTATGTATCATAATGTATGTTCTTCCAATGTCAGTGTTGGAGAAAAGACCTCATTGCAGTTGACGAAAAAAACATGATAATTCCAATTAGGTATTGAATTAAAATTTTCAAAGTACGTATAGATAATTTAATCTCGCACACAATATTTACAAAATTGCACAAAGTGTTTATAATAATAATAATACTTAAAATAAGGTTTGTACTTAAACTAGGCGTAGACTACTGCATTACAATGGCATATTCTATTACGAAATGCTTACGAATGCGAATATCTCAAGCGGAAAATCTGAAAAGTTTCTTAAAGAATCGTGAAATAGTAGATTCTTCATTTTGTTCTTCCTCATCCAATTCGTTATCCTCGGTTTCTTCCTGTTTCACCGACTTTCTTACATTATTTTCACTTTCATCATCATTTTCAGCCTCTTCTACATCGTCTTCGTTACTTTCAGATTCGTTTTGTCTTGTTTCTTTACGTTTAGCATTCTCTTCATTTCTATCTCCCTCTTCTTCATCATCATTTCCCTCATTAACTTCTTCATCACCCTCTGCATTATTTTCATCGTCTTCAGATTGTTCTTGTCTTGGTTTCTTATCTGCAATATCTTCGGCGTCTGCTGCTTCTGTATCTTCATCTTCTGCATCATCTTCAGATTCTTCTTGTTTAATTTTCTTTTCTTCAATATCCTCCGCGTCTCCTGCTTCTGTATCTTCATCTTCTACGTCATCTTCAGTGTCTTCTTGTTTAATTTTCTTATTTTCAATATCCTCCGCGTCTCCTGCTTCTGTATCTTCATCTTCTGCATCATCTTCAGGCTCTTCTTGTCTTATTCTCTTATCTTCAATATCCTCCACGTATCCTGCTTCTGTATCTTCATCTACATCATCTTCAGGCTCTACTTGTCTTATTCTCTTATCTTCAATATCCTCCGCGTCTCCTACTTCTGTATCTTCATCTTCTGCATCATCTTCAGGCTCTTCTTGTTTTATTCTCTTATCTTCAATATCCTCCGCGTCTCCTGCTTCTGTATCTTCATCTTCTACATCATCTTCAGGCTCTTCTTGTCTTATTCTCTTATCTTCAATATCCTCCGCGTCTCCTGATTCTGTATCTTCATCTTCTGCATTGTCTTCAGTTTCTCCTTGTCTTGTTTTCTTGCCTTCAATATCTTCCGCGTCTTCTGTTTCTATTTCTTCATCTCCTGCTTCATCTTCGGGTTCTTCTTGTCTTGTTTTCTTATTTTCAATATCCTCCACCTCTCCTGATTCTGTTTCTTCATCTACAGCATCATCTTCGGATTCTTCTTGTCTTGTTTTCTTATTTTCAATATACTCCACGTCTCCTGATTCTATTTCTTCATCTCCTGCGTCATCTACGGATTCTTCCTGTTTTGTTTTCTTATCTTCAATATCCTCCACGTCTCCTGATTCTATTTCTTCACCATCGATTACATCGTCATTGGATTCTTCTTGTCTCATTTTTTTATCACTTTCTTCCTCTTCTGCTTCCACATCACTAGGTTCATCATTATTATCGTCATCTTCCACCTCCTCTTGTCTAGATTTTAGTTCTTTGACATCTTTTTCATCTTCAGATTCTTGTGTTAGTTTTGGTGATTTTATATATTTAACGACAGCTTCTTGATCATTATCACTTTGTTCATCGGCAATATCCTCCCCATCATCATCGTCATTTTGTTCATCGCCAGTGTCGTCACCATCAACATCATCGTTATCACTTTGTTCATCGTCAACTTCGCCGTCATCATTGCCTTCACCGTTTTCTTCATCACCTGAACCATCATTTTCGCCATCATCGTCATCGTTAACTTCTTCAGAGTTAATGTTATCTTCATCCTCGTTGTCGTTCTCATTCGAATTATCTTCGACAGACTCTTCATCCGGATCGACCGGCTCAGGCTCTGGCTCTACTTCTGGCTCGGGTTCTATTTCAGGTTCAGGCTCGGGTTCGGGTTGAGGTTGAGGCTCCGGCTCCAGGTCCGGATCAGAACTCGGACAAGAAGGCGGTATATTTGCTCTGTCACAAATCTGAAAAAAATATATATCTCATTAAAAGGGACTCATTGCACTTACTCAAGTTTAATAAAATTGTCATGCCTTTACCACACTGATTAGTAAGTTAGTAAAGCTTTAGACAAAGGTCCCAAGTTAGTAATACCCCCTTGAAGTTGGGCAAAGTATTCAAATAAATGGAACAATTTGAGATCGCCCACGCCTGAATCGTCCCTTCAATTGGCTGTTATATATCTAACTAAACATAGGCTGCGATTAAGGGATCTTAGAACTATGCCCACAGGACTCTGTGTAAAGATTCCACTGAGATAGCAATGATGGTATGTGACATTTGTGAAGCGTATTTGGATCGTAATGTCAATAAGTACCCAGAGAGCGTACTGGCTTAGTGGCTTACTACCAAAAATGTCGGCAGTTCAATTCTTTTCGAGAAACTTTTATTGTGTCAATTTCAATAAAAAAAAATTGTAATACCGCGATAGTCACACCCCTGTCATAATGGATTCAATGTATTCAAAATCAAATATGTAATGTCAGCATGTTAAGTGTTGCATTCATCTTGACGTCAACACTCTCTGACTCTATATGGATTTATAAAGAGTGGCGATATATTAAATTATTATTATTAAAAGTACCGTAAGTATTTAAGCGCCGGACGCCTGAAATTGAACAATATTCGCCATAAACGAAAGTTTAAAAGTTACTGCCTTATTTTTCAATGGCTGAGGATTCGAATTAATGTACTTAATTAACATTATTTTTTATCAATATCTACTTGTATAAACCTGTGTATTTCACGCATTTACAAAAAATATTGAACTATGTGTGTCTAAAGTTAACATGTGGAATGATACAGACTCAATGAGAAAAAAATATCTCGATATTATAGTACGACGTGTACGCAATTTTTATATTTTTATTATGCAGATACGTTAACATTTGATGATGTTTATTTTTCGATTAAAACTTTAATACACAGATAAATGTGCCTATGACGGATTAAACACTAAAGCAGTTTCTCCCATTCAACCATTAGGCAATCATTTAAGCGAGCAAAGTAAGAGTACATTTTCGAAAATAACATATCTATACGTTAGATAGGAATTGAATGTTTTACCTGTCTTGCTTCATTAAACCACGAACTAGGCGGGCATCCCATTGTGTATGTTCTGCCTGCATAGCATTGATAATACCTGGAACAGCTGCCCATTACGGCGATGCGTAGGAAGTTTGCTTTCCCTACACATAGTGTCTCCAGATTTTGCCTCGGAGAAATGGAGAAAGCGGAGGCAGTTGCCAACGCTGCTAAGCAACACAGGAGCCAAATGGCTTCTAAAAAATAAAATTATAGAATTACAAAACAGATCTTACGAATTGTAATGTATGACTCATTTGATGGAAAGTATTAACCATTGCATAGACTTAGGGTGACTTTTCGTATTTTTCATATAAATAATGATGTCCATGGAATTATGGAAGATTTTGAGGTCGAGCGTTAGTTTACATCCTTTTTACTCCTTTATTGTGTATTTCTTTAAATACGTTCAGTGTATACATAAAACTTGAATGTGTTGATATTTGAGTGTACTTATACAAAAATTTTGTGTAAAAAGTAATAAGGAATATTCTCCTTGAAATTTTAAGGATTTATTTGTCCTAATATCACTAGACCTCGGTAAATACATAAATCGAGGTTAGTGTTTTCTATTAATTGTAACTATTAATTTGTGAAAAAATGAATAAATGTAGCTTAGATTTAATTACAACTTATAGAAAATATTATATGTAGATACTACAGCTACTATTATATTCTTTACAACTTGGTTAGCTTTACGTTTGTCATTAAATATTAGTAATAATGAAAGAGAATTACAGACAAAAATACTATTTAAATTCTGTTCTGAATGAGATATAAAATAAATCCACTCTTTGTCTTCATATCTGTTCGAAAAGCTCTCGTATTGTGTAAAAGCATATTAAAATCTCATTTAAAAATTCTTCAGTGAATAAGTTAGTGAATACTGATTATTTTCCTGTTATTTAATATGGTTTCGTATTTATTTCCGTAGACACATTCGTTATGAATTAAAACGTAATGGCTATACCCAACTTCTAGTTCAGGCAAAACAACACAGATTTTTAGACAGGAGCGCGGTTTTTCCATAAATTAATGCATAAATTATAGGTATATATAAGAAGTATAATTAGTAAGATATGTATATAGTAATTAATAAGGCATATGCTGCCGTTCTGGTCTACTCTATGAGTTTACCAGAATGACAGCCAGTAGGGGGAATTATAAATTATAGCTATGAACCACGTCGATCACGTTAGTTTTTAAACAAGATATAACTGCATAATAATGGGTTCATTTATTATTATTATTATTCACTTGACAAGTTAACCTTATAACACCTCTAAGAACTTACAACATCCCTTTTTTGCGTCAGGAATTAAAAAATCAATTTAAATATTAATTTTAATAACAATTAATTGATTTTAAATATTAATATCAGCTTATAAGCTCGGAGTAAATTTTCTCTTATACGTACGTACATATCTATCTACTTTTGATATACAATGGAAAATTATAAATCAGCACTTCATAACACTCGAGATAGCAGTTATATGTTGATATAGATAAAGCTACATGATAGCGTGATATGCCATTCAAAACCAAAAGTTAGGTAATATTGAAATTAAATCAACAAGGCTTATTATTATTTCTGGTAAACTGAAATCTTAAATCTCTTTTTCGTATATTTGTCCATATTATGTATCTAATATTATGTTACTAACAGTATAAACGCAAAAGTATGTCGGTTCTTCTGTCTGTCCGTTTCTTTCCTATTCACTAACAAAAGGATAGCAGTCACTTGCAGCTGGTCCATTATATGTAGAATAAACGAACAGTATTGAAAATTGTTGATATAAAAATTACATATCTATTTTTCAAGAAACATTCATAATTTTGGGATTTAACTTATAGTATTTTATATTACAAACGTCATTTTTGACTAGAAACATTTAATTTAATTTAATATTACTTGAATAAATTTAATATCATTCTTACAAATCGAATTAAAATTTAGGAACATGGTTTTGACTAAAAATTTTTTTGATGCTGCCCATTCTTCTGAGGTGAAAATGCAATGTACCAACTCAGAAGAATGGGAAATAACAAAAATTTATAGATTTAAGATTCTCCTATTAGACATAGAGATAGAGTTACATAACAAAACACTTGTGACTACAGCAGTCCAATCTTTATAATTAATACCCGTTCTCCATGTCCCTATATATACTAATAATTCAAATGCAAAGAGTGTTGTCTGTCTGTTTAATATTTTTTCACAATTAAACGGCTGAGATGATTTAGATTTGATGTGATAAATTTAATCACGAGGACGAATACGTGTTATATTTTGTATAAAATTAAAAGTAGGTAAATCTGATTCAAGAACTGACTTTAATCTCAACTGGGGATTCGCTGGCGTATACCGTTAGTGCATCTGGGAGCATCATTTCAATATCATCCATAAAAAACTATACTATATGACATATCACACATACCTGTAGGAATCAACTTATGGCATCTTATGCAAAATACACGAATACCTCCACATATTACCTATTTAAATCTTTATAAGTATCAAACATCCAAATATTTTCGCACCCTTTCACATTTATGTAATAGAACATTGGTAATATAAAATCACACATAATAATAAGCTATGTAATTATTGTCCACTATTGTCGAAACCACTATTGTCAAAACAAATTTATCATCTAAAGAACAATTATAGTGCAGTATAATTTGGAATACTTACTCATTTTGGCCGTTACACTGTCGTTTCAATGTTGTGATCTTGAAGATTGCGACAGAAATAAGCTAAACTACTGTAAGACTTCAATTTTATCGAGATCTCGGTATCAGGACTATCTGAGATAACGTCAGATCGTCAATATTGCAGTACAAGGAGGATAATCCGTTATCATTGCCTTCTGAAAACGTATTTAAGCCGACGTTCCAATGTTGAGACTATGTTGCGACTGATCTTACTTTTTTTGGACTATTCCAATGCTGTAAGCCGCAGCTGGCCTTTACATCTTCACCGGACAATATGGGGTGAGTGCAGATGGCACTCCAACCCATGGAAGAACTTATGGAGCGGCTGAAGGCCAACTCCCGCTTGACGGATACGACTTTAGTCTGAGGGCACTACTCAGCTCGGCCGTCATAATTTCTATCCCCGTTTGAATTGGACGGGGGATCGCTCGGAAGGGTCTTTTTATGTAAATGGAAAGCAAATAAGCTTATAGCCCACCTACTAGTCAGTACGTGGTAATGTTTAATATACATGAACAGCACTATTAATATCACGTTATGATGACGCCCGTGATACAACTCACGAGTTGCTATTCCAGAGGACTAAATTATAATGCACCTTATAATTTCCCTGTATTATTTCACATACTTACATAGCAAGCTGCATGGCTGAAATAGTTAGACTTATCAACGAGGTATATGATGCGAAAAAGACTTATAGGATTTTTAATATATCTTTTAGCATGCTGTTTGCACAATTTTATATTTTATGTGTACCTACCTACAGTTTCGTTACCAATACTGCGCCTATTGTTTTATTATTTTTGTCGTTTTATATTCGTCACTTAAAGATTTTTTTGTAGAACAAAATTCGAATATGTTTGCTTTCTCTGAAAACTTACTAAATATTTTTATGTATCGATAAATATACAGTAAAATAAGTTAGATACCTATAATAATTGGCGTTACTAATAACAAGACGCTTTTGGTTATTTATAGAAAAATCAAGCTGATTTAATATATATGTATATTGTACATAATTTTATGTAAGTTTGATATCTACGTACATTTTATTGTACTTTGATATACTTATCAGGAATCCGCGGCCCCAAATTGAGCTAAATTCTTGTTACTGTACTGGTATATACGAGTATCTACGCAGATACATTATTTTAATGAATACTAGCAAAATACATTGTAAGAGTTTAATAAAATAGGACAAAATGAAAATTTATAATAATAAAAACATGTTCGCATGTTTTTTATTCTCTGTCTTGTAATAACGTTATATAATAAATAATTCTACTTAAAATATATATACCTACCTTCTGAGCGCAACTTTATACAAATGACCATGATTAATGTAATAAAAAATGTTACGTTTAAACCAAATTTTATGAATATTATATAAATATCGAAAATGGTAACAAACGAATAAACACTTACATATTTGTAGTATTATAACTAGAATACTTGCGTTTAGTAGTACTTATGGAACAACATATTATCACAATTGCAAGTAAATGTTGCGGTCAAGTTATCACAAATCGCTCGTACGGTAGGTATGACCTTGTATCTATTATGTTTATAGCATGCCATTTCTCTGTAAGCACCATAGAGAATAAACTGACAATATTATGTAATCGCAATATTTTTTTTAGATACTACTATGGTGGCAAACAAGCATATGGCCCATGTGATGTTAAATGGTTACCGTAGCCTATGGACGCCTGAAACAATATTTTTATGTAACTGGAATGACAAACTGATAGTAGGCGCTAGCTGATCCTATATCTATAAATTTAAATTCAATACTTTATTTGCAAAAACATAGGTACAAATTAGTTCCTATTTAAAACATCATATTTATGAACACCCAGTAGACATGCAAATATAATAAATAAATTAGAAATATAAATAATAATAATTCCACAAGCTGTCTCAAAATATTGTCATTCTAAACACATGCCGTATTATAAGAAAATTTCTTTCGTTATATGTATGTATATAAATATATATGTATTAATATACTGTCTCAAGACAATGCCACACAGCGCCACTAAGTCCCAAGCTAAACAGAGCTTGTGTTATGAGTACTGGACAACTGTTTTAAATACATAGATACATATCTATACATTTTTTTTTGTAAATATATACTATTATCTATAGAAAAATGTTTGTACCGTGCAAGGATTTAAACCCGGGACTATCTGAGGTAAAGCGATATGCTAAACCGCTAGACCACCGAGGCCGTCTAAGGTTAATCAGGTTCATAGTTCACAATTATAATAATTTATTAATTAATTTTGCTATTCTCCTATTTTATTAGATTGTAATTTTGTTAAGCTATTGTTAAAATTTTATGTTTACTTTGTTGGTAGAGGACAGTTTAGAACTTAGGTGCTATGGTCGTTGTTGATCTTTTATTGTATTTATTTACTCATAAAAGCTATAACAGAACAGCACAGAGGGTAGACTCACTGCCCACTCTAAGTTATAGATCGTTTTGACTCCTTTATTACTTTTATTATAAGCAGCAATTGTATTCGTTTTTATTTGAAACAAATAAAGATGATTATTATTATTATTATAAAATCCAAAACCGCAGTATACAGTTATCAACAAAATCAAACAGATTAAAATAGACGATTGAGATATGATATAATCTATGATAGCGATATAGAGAACAAAAGAATTTTGCAATTCAAAATTTGGCAATAATAGGTACCTACTATAGTAGATACCTATAATTGCAAGGGTACCTATAAATTATAGGTACACCGAAAGAATAGGAAGCAAGTGCTTCCTAGTCTTTTCGTGTACCTAGTCCACAGAGCGTTCAGTAATATACCTGCCAAGTTTCATCATTCATCTGGGATATAGTCATAATTAAAAATGCGAACTCTTTGATGTAAGAAAGTAATGCGAAGTGGTCCTGCTGACAACTAGTAGGAAAACTACATAGTCTCAACTCGTAATAAAAGTAATTAACATTTTAAAAACTTCTTTTCTATATTTTCACGACTTACCTACCTATCGTTCATAAAAGCACATGTGAGGATTATTATTTAAATTAATATAGGTACTTATGAGGATATATATAAGAGAATAAACAACTTAGTACATTTGTTAAATGTAAATGTATTTAGTAAATGTTGGTACCTACCTAATAAACAAATATAAATAATGCTGATGTGAGTACACAAAAAAAAAATTGAGTACCTACAAAATAATATCAACAAAATGTGTTAATCAAAAAGATTTTCTGAAAATATTGTTTTATTCATTAAACTCATATTTATTGCTTATAAATATGATTTACACCTGTAAAGTAGATCGGACAGATTCAATGGAATAAATCATTCGTTTAATCTGAGATGATGAATGTTTTGCTTTACAGTTCGAAATTTCGTTGGATTAGGTACGGACTGAACTGTAGGTATTATTAATTTTAACAACAATGACATTAGAAAATCAATTTCTATGCAATCACATATATATTCAATGATAATACGATGTTTAATAAACTATGCAATTCTAAATTACCTTCCGCATACATCTAAATATATATAACTCAAAGATGACTGACATACTGATCTATCAATGCACAGCCCAAACCACTGGATGGATCGGGCTGAAATTTGGCATACAGGTAGATGTTATGACGTAGGCATCCGCTAAGAAAGGATTTTAATAAATTTCACCCCTAGAGGAATAAATTAACGCGAGCGCAGCCGCGGGCAAAATCTAGTGAAATATATAGAAAGAGAAAACTGTGTCGACCCAGTACTTTTTTGTTTATAATCTATACCTAATTTCAAGTCAATCAAGTTTATTATTACTGACACATAGCGTTGCAATAATAGTTTGAACTACAATATCTTAATATAACTATCATATTAATTGTACAGCAACTGATTTTGCTTTTTCAAAGACAACTCAAAAATCTGTATTATTTGTGTACACTGTGACAGTAGTCGTTTGTATAAAAATAATTCTTACACATTAATTAAATAAATGTAGCATTTATAAAATAAAACGCCTTTCAATCATCAATTCTTTCACCAATACATAATTTAAATAGTATTTTTTCTGAGGACAGAAATAGGTTAGTTCCCCAATCCATTGATTCGCCAGCAAATTGCTAATTCTGTTGACATACCCGACGATTTGACTTTCGCCGTAACACTCTGTGGCAGTTAATGTTGTTTGCAATTGTAACTAAATTTTACAAACGTAATAACACAAACATATAAACAAAATGCACGTGGCTATTCGACATTACAGTTTCTTTATGGATGAATAGATATGGTAGTATGCTCAAACATTAACAAATAGTCAAACATTTATTTTGCACAACCTTTAATAAAATCCACACAGTTGCTGAAGCCTAATTTTAAGCATAAAAATGCTTGTGCCAGGAGGGTCCATTTTTCCATAACTTATACAGTAAGTATGTTCAGTAAGTATAACTAAAAATTTCTCTCGCCTGCGCTAACGATATACGCTGTGCACCAATGGAGGATGATAGTATGAGGATGAAATCAGGTCAGTCAGTCAGGGGATTAATCTGACATGACATTCCTAGCATCACTAATTTGCTGTACTAACTATACCCTAAAATTACTATAAAAGGTAGAGAGATAAACAAATAGACAAACATGCTTCTGATCATCGCAGGTTTGATTCCTCGCACGGCACAAAGATGACTATAATTGTTTGAATCGGTATTTACTATGTATATTATGTATGTATTTAAAAAAAAACTATGTAAGTAGTTTTATCTGTTTTACCCATAATATCAGCTCTGGTTAGCTTGGGACTAGATGGCGCTGTATTAATTGTCCTGAGAGTTAGTATGGATGTTTATAAATATGCACCAGATGTAATGAATATCAATCTACATTACTTTTTACTGCTGTAACGTTTCCAGGTCGAGCTATTTCTTAGAACCAAATCAATCAACATACGGACTCCTTGAAGTTACTAGTATTCAGTGGCATCGATAAACGTAATCTAGAAACGAATGACTGATATGTGTGTGGACCATTCATGATATCGGA